ATTAGCCCTTTAGTTGACTTCAAGCTTCACAGAGGGGAGGAGGAACATCAAAGTGAAAAAAAGTCGAGAGGGGGGTGGGGTACAGAAGAGTGATTCAAAGATGTAAAAGAGACAGATACAAAAGCGGAAAAGAAGGTAAGGTGAGGTGAGTACTGTGGAAGTGGTCGAATATGATATGCAGGGGGCCATGGTAGTTTGAGGTGAGAAGTCAATTGTCGGTAAGTCTATCGAACGCTCCAACATTTAAGTATAAAAAGAAACTTGAATCAATCGCTACACTGAACATTAAAAAATGAAAATCATCAACAAATGTAATCAAAAATTACTAATAATGATTGAATTCTATTCCTCGGTAATGTTTACAACGTCACAGTTAACTCGTCTCCATGACGGAGGAGAGGAGATGGCAGATGACATTTTTATCTTTACACCAAATCAACTTATTGGTTTTCAAAATGAGATCTGGAAAGTCAATTCACTGCCAAATTTTACCTGCTAAGACGTAAAATCCATCGGATTATTTGCGTCCTATCAAACCCCCCCCCCCCTCCCCACCCCAGCAACCTCCCATGCAGCAGCATTTATAAAATAATATCAGACCAACGACATTCTTAGGAGTGAACAAGCAGGTTTTAGGCCACAAAGATCAACTAACCAACAAGTAGCCACTTTCTTCCAACACATCAAAGATGCCCTTGATGCAAGAAATACCCTTACGGCTGTTTACGTCGATTTCAAATCAGCATATGACTTAGTATGGAAAGAGAAGCTAATTCTAAAATTGGCAAAGATTGGTAATAAGCATAACATGCTAAACTGGATTAAAGCATTAATTGGGCAAAGATCATGTAAATCAGATGTGGAAATGCTCTATCGAAATCTAATCTTTTACAAACAGGCCTTCCACAGGGAGCTGTCACAAGCTGCACTCTTTTCAATGTCTTCATCAATAACATAGCCGAATAAGTACAGTCACGGGCATCAAGTGTTTACTTTATGCAGATGATCTTGTTCTATGGTATTGCGCCGCTAAGAAAAACGCTCAGGAGAGGACGGAAAGTGCCCTAAATTGTGCACTTAAACTACTAGCAAACTGGTGTGACAACAATGGAATGGTAATTAACACCGCAAAAACTCCATTCCAAACATTTTCTTTGGCCCATCAGAGCATAAACCCGCTTTTAAGGTACAAGGATTCTACCATAGAAAAAACCAATGAGTTCACGTATCTCGGAATGACGTTTGACACAAAGCTAACGTGGAAAAGTCACATTGCTAAAATAGCAGAACGAGTCTCCAATAGACTGAATGTCCTGAAGCGTCTTGCTGGTAGCGTATGGGGCTGTGCACGCTCAACTCTTAACACCACTTACAAGATGTTACAGGAAGCACCACAATATGTTTCCTTATCAAAGAAAAGGCCTTGATCCTCTATGGGAAGCTACTGTGCATTCACATGGATAAATTATTCAACACCTATGAGAATAGACTAAGACATCTGAAAACGCAATCTGGTCTAATACAGAAAGCCATAGAACTGAAGAAAGTATTACAAATCGATGAAAAACCAAAAAGCCACTCTCTCCCCATGAACCCATTACCAGACACTGATGTAGTGTGTTGCACCCAACTGCTCGACTTCTTCAGGAAATCAAACACCCCTCCAGAACAAATGCGCTCACTGGCTCACTTGAGACATTCAATGTCAACCATCCTGCAGATCAATGGCTCCAAGTCTTCACTGATGAGACATACATAGAAAACCAACCAAACGTTGGTGCAAGTGTCTATTCTGAACTCTTCCCTTTCTACGCAGCAACGGGACACAATAGATCCACTTTTGAAGGAGAAATAGAGGTCATTAGGATAGCACTATGCCAATTATGTTGCTTGCACACGAAATTTGCCAAAACAGTGATACTTTCGGACTCACGGTCAGCAATAGTCTCAATTGGAAGCAGAGAGACACCCAAAACAGCTGAGATAAAGCAATGTAGATAACTCTATCAGCTGCTGAGAGAGAAAACAACACAGTGGTCCTACAAGGGATTCCTGGTCATTGTGGCATTAAAGGCAATGAGCTTGCTGACTCACTTTCTAATAAGGGGACAATGATTTTGCAATGCATGGACCGCCCGATGTCTTTCCACACAATGAAGAACTTAATCAGGAGAGAATTCCAGACTTCAAGGTGCAACGAACTGAAAGCTCGAACAAAGGAGAAACAGTGGACAGTGGCACTCTCCGACATAGCCGACTGGCCAAGAATCGAAGCCGTTGTGTGAGTTTAGACTACTTACCGGACACGATTGCCTGGCCAAACACCTTCACAGACTGGGAGTATGCACTCAACCCACATGCCCCCTATGTAACCTACAGGAGGAAATGGAGAAGGCCCACCTGATTCGGTGTCGAGTCCTAAAGACAACGACGGAAATCCAGAGATCCTGGGAAGCAAGAAGACAGCTAATGAATTGCTATTAATTAACTGCAACATATTTACTCCCAACCCAAGGGGAAAGCTGAAGTCAAAGTTTAAGGGCTAATGATGAATGTCATAAAGAATGCCATCGACATTACATGAATTCCCATGGGATGAATATCATCGCTCTTACTATTGGGGAAGTATGAGACCCCAAAGTAAGGTTCAAAAGTTCCCCCATGAAGTGAAATGCTTAGAACCACTGAAAAATATGGCTTGATGAGAAGAAGGAATCGAAATTCTTCCGACTGGTTTTCTCACCTGTACATCATTTTGATATAAATACTGAAACATAAAAACTAGACTCTTTTCATTTTTTTCAAAACAGCGTATAGTAAGTGAAATACAGCTTAGCAATTTTAAATGCATATAATGTAATAAGTAGTCAGTTTTTTTGCGATAATAAAATATAAAATTCTAGCGTGTTTGAGGTGGAACTTGAAATGCGTTCAATAGTACCTAATAAAACATACGGCCTTGAGTTTTGTATGCAATTGGTCACGTGCTCCAATGACAAAGCCTCCCCCTCCTGAAACCCGGGCAATTCGGCAATGGGAACCGCTCCAAGTCACGTTGGTGCATATTTCTTACGAATTTTTGTAGACAAGATAGTGCTCCCTCTAATTATCAGCGTTAGAAACAGAATACCAGGATTCAGTGGGTAGCACTTTTAACACTTAGCAAACAAGAATTCAATAATTCATTAATAATTTCAAATTAAATCTAGAAGCGATTTATCAGAAATCTTTTGATGATTGACTCACTTCCTGGGAGACAACTCACTGGATTGGACCCTTTCCAGACATTATTACCCGAGATATCTGAGTAATTGAATTTTGCTTAGCTTACTTAGACCCCATCTTCACAGGGCTGTGCGATAGACTTACCTCCACGTGATGCACCCTGGGCAATGTGAACTCATACGGCAAAAAAGTCTATTGACCGGCAGTTGACTTCTGACTTCAAACTACCATCACCCCACTGTATGTCATATTCGACCACTAGCTACCATGACCCACTGTATGGCATATTAGTCTACTTCCACAGTACTCACCTCACCTTTTTTCTACCTCTGAGTCTGTATACTTCCATAGTACTCACCTCACCTTTTTTCTACATTTGTATCTTCCACAGTACTCACCTCACCTTTTTCCTACCTTTTCTAAGCCTCCACAGTACTCATCTTACCTTTTTCTCTACCTTCGTGTAACACAGTACTCACCTCACCTTTGTTCTACCTTTGTGTCTGTTTAAACTACCATCACCCCACTGTATGTCATATTCGACCACTTCTACAGTACTCACCTTACCTTACTCTCTATCATTGTACCTGTCTCTTTTACATCTACAAATCACTCTTCGGTTCCCCTCTCGATCTTTTCTCACTTTGATGTTTCTCCCCTCTGTGAAGTTCGAAGTCAGCTAAGGTCTAGTGATAACTATCAAATCGCCTGCCATTTGAAATAAATAAATATAAACCACATTTTCACAACCAACTGCTGAATTAGTATGCATAGACAAGACCTCTTGCAGCCAGTTCATTCTGCTTATTGCCCCCCCCCCCGACCTCCTCCTTCTATCTTTTCTTCTGGCTGTCTTCCCTCAATGTCATTTAACAGTAAATTTCTCCTCACTCGATTCTTCTTATCTCCTTATTTTTGCTATCATTGTTCTTGACAAATATGACACCTCTGACTTCCTTGTCACGTATCTTTATCCATCTTCCAATCACGCATTTAATAGTGACATTGGAAAATATCCCCGACAAATAAATATGGCACGTTGTCTCAACAAGAGCTATGCTCGTCCTTATATATCAATTTCATAATAACTAGGTATATGAAATTAATCATGGAAGATAATGTAAAATAGAAAGCAAGTTGGAAGAGCAGTATTAAATCATCAAAAATATAATTTCAACAACAGCTTTGATGTCAAGACATCTAAATGAGAATTGGTTTGGAAATCTCCAGTCAATCATGAATTTGAGGTTTATTAAACTCACAACCCGGAAACAATAAGAAATCGATTACAGACGGTATACCAACCGGAATTACATGGACAATAAATTGTCACCTGTCTCTTAGACGTCATCTACTGGATCCATTTATCAAGTTAGACTTCTTACAATAAGTGTAATCTAATTGGTTAAGGCCGCAACTTTCTCAAGATTGTCCATGTCAATATTGATCACATCAATTTTGCCAAGTCACCTGTCATTTAAACGACCCCCAAATTCCCAGTTTAGATAGACAATACATAAGGGAAATTACATGGGGTATCTATTTTATCCTAACCCTTACATTGAACCGTTGGGGTTCTTAAATACTTGTCAGGCTGAAGGTGACGTTTCATTGGAATTAAAAGTCCCCTATTTTTAAGTTTTGATTAATTTTATAATCATCTGAGAGATTGCTTTCACATGATATTGGATAGATCCTCACTTCTTAAAATCCCACAATGTTCAAACTAACAGCCATTTGTGAGGACAGTCATATCTCAGTTAGAAAATAAATTAATGGTGAGTTATTTTTTTTTGAAAAGACATTTTCCTCATTTTGCCTTTAGACTACACACAGCAGCTCAGAGCATTCGAGAATATCAATCCTTCCTTACCAAGTAACAACCCAAATATTTAAAGACCTGTCATCGTGTGATATATTGAATTTCTGCTCGGCTTTTCCACAATGGCGTTCGTTTCCAGAAAGCAAAAAAGCCACGAGGATTTTCAATCAGGATATCGAAAACTGGACGTGGATTGATAAACATCTTTACAACCTCCTTCTTCCAAAGAAATCGTCAAACGAATTTAACAATACAGTTGAAGCTATTCGATATTACTACAACTACAACGTCTGCATAAAAGGCTTCGAGTATGAAAAGGCGAGAATAGGCTCTTCACTTTGTGAGTGCATTCTAACAGGAAATCTACCATTGAACTCAAAAGTACCGTTGAACTTCGACTCAACAGTAGCAATTGACGATAGAGACATAAATGAATTGCATTTGGAATATGGAAAAATGGCCGCATTTACTCTAGATGGGTATAATTATGATACCATGTTCTATTACAAACCTCTGCTGTGGAAGAGACGAAGAAACATTGAAGTGGACAGCTGTGTAATACATTTTGCCCATTCATTCAAGCAAGATTGTAGTGATCTAAAGGATATTTTTGTTGATCTGCGTCCAGATCAAACAGCTATCATTGCCATTGTGAAGGATTCAAAGCGACAGTTGAGAGGATATAAAAGTAATATTGACTTTCTGACAGGATTTCTTGAAAATGAAATGGGCGGATTTGAGGACTCTCCGCTGGCGAAAACAAAATCAAATTGGTGTCTTTGGCTTCTGGAGTCGGATGAAACTAAGTTCCTTAATATTATGGATGTTTACAAGTGGTCAAGTTTCCATATTCTTAAGCGTCGAATGAACTTACAAATATAGTCTTCAGCTTGGATTGACCACTTATTGATTTTACTACATATTACGCAGAAAAATTTTAACAATTTCACTATATTATATACATATATATAGAAAGCCTACGTAGTTTACTAAATTCACAAGCGTGGTTCTAAAGTTCCCATTAAATGCATATAGACGCACGTCGTAACGTCCTGTCAATAATTCTATCCCAATCACCATATATATTCGCGCTATAGGCCACACCAATGTGAATAAACTATTATTTCCATAAAACAGATTGAACCTGGAGCAACGACTGAATGTGATCGATAGTCCAAGGCCACGTGGAGGCATTGGAAATTGGGGACATGCTGATTTATCGCTTCTGACCTGAAGGGATTTGCATAAACCGTCACCTTGAACTTTATCACCTTGGTGTAACTATGACAGTTAGGCCTGATCAAAAATTAGCTGTAAAAGACTGGTAAATGATATACATTGGATGAGTGATATAGAGAGAGTTTTGCTAATATTTTAAAAGAAGTAGAGGAAAGTGATGGCAAATAAAAATTCACCAAGGTGACATGAATTGCTCCAATTTATAATACTTCGTTCAATTTCTTGTCCTTAATGGAAAATAAGAACCTCTTCATTTAACTGACGGCCTAAGGTCAGCCCACCAACGAACCAAGCCGCTCGTCAAGGTGTCAAAAGTCAGAAAGCTCCACCCAATAATATGAACAATGATATATTTTGGCAACGTCTGTGAGATGTGAATTCCTCATCCGGCAACAAATAATAAATTCCGTAGTCTAGACCAACAAATTCGCTTTAATTGGCTCAAAATATTAATAAACATTTTGTCACTATTAGAAATTCTCGTGATTACAACCAATATACGGACTATTATCTGACTGTCACAAAGTCCACGCGATTTACTAGAGATACAAAGTGCATTCAATAACCATTAATCCCTCAATAAATCCACAAAAGTGTGATTTCATTAAGGGTGAAATAAAGATTCAAAGCATTCATGCCTATTATCCATGAATTAAATAAGTTTTTTTCAAAACTGAAAGCAAGCTTTTACGGAAAGAAAGTTTACTTACTACTTTCAAGGCCACCTGAAGAACCATTATCTAATCCCTATTATGGTAAGACGGGTTGAATCACGCTTGGTTTCTCGAGTGATCAATTTTGTCACTACTTTTGTCAGCTGAACACAATTTGGCACCTTGAAAGTGCCCGTAGAGCATTAAATCCGAAACCACTAGTTTCGTCGAGGAGTATGCAAACCGTAAGTGCATTGTCTCTTCTTACTGAGTGTTACAGGGTGGGCACTAATCTCTTCAGTGTGTTTGAATGGATTGTATAATGGTCGGGAGTTCGGTTTATCAATTATTGATTTTTAACACCATTGCCGAAAATGTTGACTGGTATTCCTCCTTCTTCTTACTAGTGTATGCACCCATGGTTGTAGTATAATATATTGTGGAAATGGCAATTTTCTCTTTGAATTTCACAATTTTAATAGTTTCTACCTATTGCCACATTAATTCATGTTTAATAAGAGATTTCTGCTACAGGCGTACCACTAATTGGGATTCCCAGACATCTAAATTCCGGGCAATAAAACTTTATTTGAAAAAGCCAGTACTTTTCTATTTATTTATATCAAATGGTAGGCTTTATGGTATTTATATTAGACTTTTAATTGACTTCGAGTTTCACAGATGGGAGGAACATCAAGGTCACAACAAGTCGAGAGGAGAACGAGAAGAGTGATTCACAGATGTTAAAGTGAGTCACCAAGGTATAGAAAAGGTAGGGTAAGGTGAGTATTGTTTGAAGTGGTGGAATAGGACATACAGTGGGGTCATGATAGTTTGAATTCAGAAGTCAACTGCCAGTTGATAGACTTTTTGTCGAATGAATATACGTTGCCTCTGGTGCACCACGTGTAGGTGAGTCTATCTCACACCCCACATTTCAATGTACAAATGCGTTTTTGTCGGTACGCCTTGTTTCCCCTCTCTTTCTCCCCTTCCCCCC